TCCCCCATTTTGTCTCTCCTAGTTGAGGTATACCTATGATGAAAATTACAGGCCTCTCTCCTCTTTTTAAGTGGGAGAACTTGCACAATGGGTGGCTGACTAAATACTTTTTTGCCCCACTGTAGGTGGTCCACTGTTTCTTCAGCTTCTTTGCGGAAGTGACATTTGCTGCCTGTTGCTGTCCTCTCAAGTCTGGCTTTGTATGCATTTGTTCTTAAAACTTTGTCTTGTGCAGCCAGAATTATCCCCTCTGTCTCTTTGTTCAACTTTCTTGTTCTTAGCCATTGCCAGGTCTTGTTGTTGTTTGCTTTGTCTGCTAGTTATTTTTTGTGCTGGTCATGTAATACTTTGCCTTGCCATGTCTCTTTTCTATTCTTCATTTGGTCTTTCAGTCTGATCTCTTCAGTATTCAGTAAGCCTTCATGTTGTACTAGCTTCAGTGCATCTTCTTCATTGTCCTTCAGATATTCTTCTAATGTCCTTTTTTCTTCTTCAACTGTCTGGTGTACTTGCAACATTCCATGCCTACCTGTGCTCCTGGTAAGTACAGTCTGTCAACATTGCTGCGTGGATGAAGGACATGATTCATTGTCATTATTTTTCTGGTCTTCCTACCAGGGTTTCTAATTCTGCTTGAGTCCAGTCCACTATTCCAGCTGTATATCTAATGACTGGAATTGCCCAAGTGTTAAATGCCTTGAGAGTATTTCCTCCACTGAGTTTGGACTTTAAGAACTTCTTCACTCTCCTGATGTATTCACTCCTAACCTTCTTCTTGACTTAAGTGTGCTTGATGTTGTCTGCTTGAAGGATTCTCAGGTATTTGTAATGATCTTGTTCATCCAGACTCTTGATGTTATTTCGATACGGGATCTTGATTCCTTCAGTTTTCACTATTTTTCCCCTGTTGATGGTAAGAGTGGCACATTTGTCCAGTCCAAACTCTATTGTAATATCTTGGCTGTATATTTGGACAGTATTGAGCAGCGATTCTATTTCAGATGGTGTTTTTCCATACAGCTTCAGATCATCCAGGTAAAGGAGGTGGTATAGCCTGGCAGATGTTTTTGATGTTTGATTGCCATGGCCTGTTTTGTTCCATATTATTGACAGAGGAATCAATGCAATGACAAACTGTAGTGGTGATAGTGAGTCTCCTTGAAAGATTCCTCTCCTGATATTAACCTTAAGACCAGCAACTGTGTCATCCATTGTGCCACTGATCTTAGCACAAAGCTTCTGATGTTTCTACTGACTCCTGTTATTTTTGGACCCTTGATTATCCAATCGTGTGGCAGGGAGCTGAACACTTTCTTGTAATCAATCCAAGCTACATTCAAGTTGGTCTTCCTTTTCTTTCAGTTTTTCAAAATCATCTTTTCAATTATGA